GTGCAGTGAAAATAATTGATGATCATCTTGTAGCAATTGATTATCTGTCTCCCGTAATGCTGCTTTGCTCGTACATTAAGGGGCTGTTGCTTTTCCCCCCAGAGCCCAGAGCAGGCAGCAAAGTTGAGCACGCAGCCGTGGCCATGGCCGTCTGCCCGGTCCTGCCCATCTCTGCCCGTGCAGGGCTGCGGAGTCCAGGCCAACGTCAGGGCTGAACAGGGGCACTCGCTGCACCGGTGCAGGCTGGCAGAGAGCCAGCCCTGTCCCGTGGATGGCCCAAGGAGGAAGAGGAGGAGGAAGACTTCCCAAGAGCCATGAGTTCCTCCTGTGGGTTCCTCCTGCTCCTCAGCTGCAAGCTGGAGGGGTTTTGGTGATGCTGGAGGAAGCATCTCTGCAGCCACGGTTCATCTCAAAGCCTCTGCGGGAGCGGAGGTGGGTACTGCGGATGCACCCGCCTGCAGCAAGGTGGCAGCCGGCAATGGCCACCCCGCCGCTTCTCCTTGCCCCTGTCCCAGCCGGGGTGGGCACTCACTGCCTCCCGCTGCGGCCGAGCCCGGGCTCTGCACACCCACCTGGGCAGCCCACACCGTGGGACAGAGTCACCTTTCCCCACGGCTGCCCTCCCTTCCCCAGCACAGCACTCGCCTCAGCACCGCCCGGGCCATTGCCTTCACGGGCGGCTGGGAACGGCAGCGTTGTTTGCAGAGCAGCAGCCCTGACTGCTCGGCTGGAGCTGCACACTCAGCAGAACCCAAATCTCCCAAAAAACCTGAATAAACTTCCCAGGCAGAGCGGGAGCTGGGCAGGGACCCAGATTCCCTCCTCATGCTTGTCACATGAATGAGCTCTGCAGCCGGGCTCCCCCCTCAGCGGGAAGGGGATTGTGCCGCATTGTGGGGAGGATTAGGCCATTTCGGGAGGCCAGGAACATCTGCGCATGCAGGGCTGCCCTCTCCCCTGCCTGCCCTGGCCCCTCGCCGTACCACGGGCATCACAGTAAGAGCTTCCCACCCCACAGAAAGGCAAAGTGGGCCCAGGGCACCCGTGGGGCTGGGGTGCACCTGGGCAGCTGCCAGTGAGGCGGAGGATGCCCCAACACCAGGGCAGAGGTGGCAGCAGCTCCACAGCCCCTGCATCCACAGGGGGTCACCCAGTGACCTCCCTCCACATCCCCCAAATTCCCTAAAAGAGGGAAGAAGAGAAGGAAGGAGGGCAGCCCGCAGCCTGGGTCTACCTGGCTCTCCCTGGCAGCGCCACTGCACCAGCAGCCAGCCGGGGCTGCTGCCGGCGGGCAGCAGCCGGACGGGGGTGCCGGCCCTGAGAA